CCTGGAACTCATATGAATTTAAAAGATCAGAGCTGAAAATGGCTATTCAACCATTCAAGCTTGCTGTGCAATTCAACAAAATTATGGCGGATTCATTTATGGCTTTTTCTTCAGTTGTTATCCTGATCCTTTAACTCTGGACTCCCTTGTAGAACAAAAATCTGTCTTATGTATCCCTTGAGTGTATTCAAAGACCTAGCCACCAATCATCCCTGGGAAAGAGAATTCCAAATATTAATGAACTCGGAGAAGAAATTCCTCCTTGTCTTCATCTGAAATGGGAATTTTTAAACTACAAGTCCGAGATTCACCGACAACGGAGACATAATCTCAGCATCGGCTCTATCAAGTTTCCTCAGGGTCGTTTATTTTTCAATAAGATCATCTTTAATTCTTCTAAACTTTAATGTGTAGGCTTTCCTCATTAAACGACCACTTCAACCCTACCAAACTTTATCTGAACTGCTTCCAAGGTATATATATCCCTCCTTAACTAAAGAGACAAAAACTATACAGTGTTGTTGGCATGGCTGCACCACAGCCCCGTACAGCTGTAGCAAAACCTCCCTACATCTTTACATCATGCACCTTTATAGAAAATGCCAACATTCCATTTGTCTTCCTTATTATTTGCTAGACCTGCATGCTATAGTTTGTGTTTCATGCAGATCCATCTGTACTACAATATTCTGCAGTATCTCTCCATTTCAATATTCTTCTGTATTTTTCTTGTCAAAATGGACAACCACAGATTTTTCTACTTTACTCTCCACCAGCTAAACACTTAGCCATTCACTAAATCCCTTCACAGACTGTCTGTACCCTACCTATTCTTATATCATCACCAAATTTAGCTACAAGACAATTGGTCCTTTCATCCAAGCCATTAGCATTTATTGTAAATAGTTGGTACCCTAGCACAGACTCCTGTGCCACTCCATTATAGTTTGCTAAGTGAAAATGACCCATTTTTCCTACTCTATTTTATGTTAGCTAGCCATTCTTCTATCCATGCTAGTAAATCACCGAAGCATCATGAGCTCTTAGTTTGTGTAGTGATTTTCAATACAACACTTTATTGAATGCTTTTGGAAATGTAAATACTGAACATTCACCATGCTGTTGGATTCTCAAAGAAGCCTAATACATTTGTCATGTTAACTGTGTCCAATTGTTAGGTAATTTTCTAAATATCCTGCTACTACTTCCTTCAAAATTGATTCTAGAAAATAATTTCTGATTCGTTGAAAGTTTTCCCAATGTCAGATTTGAGGTGACCTCGCCTTATGCTCCTATATTCTGAAATAGCTTCTTAAATGTTTGCCATTGCTTTTCAACTGTTACCTTTTACCTCTTAACTATTTTTCTGGTTCACTTTAGCCAAAAATGTGTTTAAAAATTTAGATAAAGGAAATTTATCTTTCTGAAATTTGTTCAAAATATAGAGTTGTTAAAACAATAAACATAAACTTTAAAAAGAATCCCCAAATACTAAAGGTTAGACCAAACCTCTGGAGTAGGGTGTACAGTACTGGCCCTTACTTAAGGAAGAATGTAAATGCATTGATGCAGCTCAGAAACTATGGCTAGACTTGGAATGGGTGATTTGTCTTGTTGGACAGCCTAGGCTTGTATCCACTGGAAAGTAGAAGAGTAAGAAATGATTGGATTGAAATACACATGATCGTTAGAGGTCCTGACAAGACGGATGTGGAAAGGATGTTACCTCTTGTAGGAGAATCTAAAATGAGGGGTCAGTTTAAAACTGAACAATCACCCAGTTAAGATGGAGATGATGAAGCATTTTCTTCTCTCAGTGACGATCTCTGAAATCACTTCCTCAAAATTTGGTGGAAGCAGACTCTTCAAGCCTTTTTCAGGCAGAGGTAGATAGATTCTCGATAAGCAAGGGGTGGGGGGTAGACATTATCAGGGATAAGTAGGAATGTGGAGAAATCAGATCAACCACGATCTTATTGAGTAGAATCACAGAAAATCACAGCACAGAAAATGGCCATTCACTCGATCATATCTGTGCCAGCTGAAAAAGAGAAAAAAAATCTAGGTGCTCATTTTAATCCCACCTTTCAGCACCTGGTCCACAGCCTAGCCAGTTGCAGTCTTTCAGAGGAAGATCCAGATTGTTTTTAAGTGGGTTCAGGTTTCCTGCTTCAATCACCAAGCTGTGAGGAGAGTTCCACACACTCACCCTCCTCTGGGTGAAAATGATTTTTCTTCGATACCCTCCAATTGTTCTACCAATCAACTTACAAAAGACCCTAAGGTATAGGAGTGGAATTAGACCATTCTGATCAGTCACGATTGAATGGCAAAGATGTTTCTCAACTCCATTTTTCTGCCTTCTGCCCATAAGCTTCGATCCCCTTACTAATGAAGAACCTATTTCTGTCTTAAATACACTCAATGACTTAGCTGCCAGAGCCTTCTGTGGCAATGAGTTCCACAGATTCATCACTCTCTAGCTGAAGAAATTCCTCTTCATCTCAGTTCTAAAGTAACATCCCTTCACTCTAAGGCTTTCCCGAGGTCCTAGTCTCTCCTACTAGGAGAAACATCTTTTCTATATCCATTCTTTCCAGGCCTCTCAGTATTCTGTAAGTTTCAGTGATAGCCCTCTCATTCTAAACTCAATCAAGTACAGACCCAGAGTCCTCCACTACTTCTCATATGACAAGCCCTTCATTCCTGGGATCATTCTCCTCTGGACCCCCTGTAACACCTGCTCATCCTTCCTTAGGTATGGGGCCCAAAACTGCCTACAATATTCCAAATGCAGTCTGACCAAAGTCTTTATAGACTCAGCAGTATATCCCTGGTCTTGTATTCTAGCCCTCTCAAAATGAATGCTAACATTGCATTTCCCTTCATAACTGCCAACTGAACCTGCATGTTAACCTTTACAGAATCCTGAATTAGGACTCCTTAATCCCTTTGTACTTCAGATTTCCAAAGCCTTTTCCCATTTAGAAAACAGTCTACACCTTCTGTTTTTCATGTTCTTATATTGTATTCCATCCACAACTTCTTTCCCATTCTTCCTGGTATGTGCAGGTTCTCAGCAGCCTCCTGGCATCCTCAGCACTACCTGTCCCTCCACCTATCTTTCTCATCTACAAACTTAGCAACAATTTAGTTCAACTTAGTTCCTTCATCCAGATCGTTAATGTATAACATGAACAGTTGTGGTTCCAACACTCGCCCCTACGCAACACCTCTAGTCACCTGTAAAAGACCCCTTTATCCACACACTCTGCCTTCTGCCAATCCTCTGTCCACGCCAGTCCTTTGCCCCTAAAACCATGGACTCTTATCTTCCCTAGCAGCCTCCTGTCTGGAAATCCATGTAGATCACATTCACTGGCTCTCTTTTGACTAACATGCTCATTACCTCCTCAAAGAAGTTTCACAGATTTGTAAGGCCTGATCTCCCCTTGACGAAGTTGTGCTGACTCAGTCCTACTTTACCATGCACTTGCAAGTACTCCACAATTTTATCCTTAATAATGGACTCTAAAAACTTATAAAACGACCGAGGTCAGGCTACCTGGCCTATAATTTCCTGCCTTTTCAGAATCGATTACAATAATTCACTTACCGTGAAGTCAGACGGACTGATGTATAGGTATTTGGCCTATCCCTTGTGTTCTTTATAAATAATGGTACAATATTCACAGACTTTAAATTTTCTGGTATTTTTCCTGAAATCAGTGAGAATTGAAAAATGAGGTGAAAAATGAGTAGGTTGAAGGGGCCAAGTGGCCTACTTCTGATCCTAAATGATGTGTTTGTATGTAAGTCAATTATCTATATAAATGAGTAATTAAAGATTTAGCATTAAGAATTGCCAAGATGTTAACTAATGAAATTTTATTTTTGCTGTTTTGGTTAAGATACAGAGCTAAAAAGAGACAGACTAGACCTCAAGTACCAAATACCATGGAAGTGGATGTGGATCAGGGCTGAGCTATTGCTGGGTTTAACTAACATGGGCTTTGCATCCATCTCTGGTGGCAGACACACTTAGTGATCCTCGATAGAATTCATAGAAAGTGAAAGTTTGAACGGGGTTGCGTTTCAGGTTTGCCTCCTCTCCCACCCTGCCTTGCAGATAGATATTTGGGAAGGAGGAGGAGAAAGAGGGAAAGGGTGGATGTGTGTCTACTTTCCCTCTTACAAACACACACACACACACACACACACACTCTCCATCCAGCTCACACTCGTACATTCTCCCTGCCTTCTCCATTTACTTGCATTTTTGACTGCCCTCCCTCTTTCACACTTGCACACTCACATCCTCACTTATACACTCTCATTCCATCACACACCCTCCATCCTTCAACTTTCGTCCAATACTCACATAGCTTCCCTCATACTCACACTCCCTCACAATGTCCCTTCTTTCCTTTCAATCCTTCTTTCCCTTGCACACCCATGCTTCATTCCTTATGGAGTCATAGAATCCCTACTATGTGGAAGCAGGCCATTCAGTCTATTGAGCTCACACTCCTCTCCAATGAACGATCTACACAGACCCACGCCCCCTACCCAATCCCTGTAACCCTGCATTCTCGTGGCTAATCCAGCTAGTCTGCACATCCGTGGACATTGGGCAATTTAGCCTGACCTATCCACCTGACCTGCACATCTTTGGTCTGTGAGAGCACCCGGAGGAAACCCGTGCTGACATGAGGAGAATGTGCAAACTCCACGCAGACAGTCGCCTGAGGCTGGAATCGAACCTGGGACCTGGTGCTGTGAGGCAGCAGGGCCAACCACTGAGACACCATTCTGCCCACATAGCCACCCTACACTCTCACATCCTATTGCAAACTTGTATAACCTCCCTTACTTTTCCACAAATGGGCACACTCATTCTCCGAGTCTCTGACACACACACACACACACACACACACACACACACACACACACACACACACACACACACTTTCTCTCCCTTCCTCTCTCCTTCCCTTATGTACACACAATCACAGAATCATAAGAGCGCTATGTTGCAGAAAGAGGCCATTTGGCCCATGATATAGCACTAGTACTTCAAATGAGCATCATTACCTACTGCCAATTCCTTGCTTGTTACACATACCTACGGACATTATTTAAATAGAAATAATCATTCAATGCCATCTTGAATGCCTCACTTGAGCCTGCCTCCACCACAGTTCCCAGCATTCCACAACCATAACTATTCTCTGTGTGAAAAAGATTTTTCTTGCATCACATTTGCACCTTTTGAAAACCCTTTCAAATTGGCATCCTCTGGCTCTTGATTCTTTTATGGGCAGGAACAGTTTCTTCCTATCCACTCTATCAAGCCCATTGTTTTCGCACATGCATTCCCTCTCACCCTTCCTTCCAAATGATCACTCTGTCAACCTCTCCCATATGCTAACTCACTCACTGTCCCTCAGGCACACACTCTGTTTCTCACATGTACACGCGGTCTCTCTCCCTCAACCTCACTCACATGTACAATTTCTCCCTCCATCACGCTCTCACAGTCACACACACTTTCCCACACAATCTCACATGCGCATATATTTTCCATCCATCACGCTCATACATGTGCACACATTCTTTCTCCCTCATTCTTATGTACTGTGTTGGACTCGCACACCTTTCCTCACCGGTTTACCATCCCTCATGCGCTTACTAACCCTCTCTCTTGTATCTCTCCCCCTCACATGACATTCCCCTTATCTTCCTCTCCCCCAGCACAAAAAAAACTGTATGGTAATTTTAAGTAATAATCTGTGTATATGTAAATTATGAACAGACTAGCAGTCTAGCATTCAGAATTTTATACCTGCATAACTTACAGACTTACTGAATAAAAACAGATATTAATATGCCATAGAGCCGAGTTCAGGGGTGTTTGCCATTAGTTAGATTTGATGCCCATTTCAACAAGGTTTTGTTTGAAAAGTTGCTGAGGTACAGACTGATAAAGATATGCTAATGGTGTCAATCTGGGCATCTGGAATGAAGGTTTGTTTGTTTTGTTCTTAACACACTTTTCTTATTTTAAAAAGTAGTAGGAAAGCTTTGGAATGATTAACAGGATGATTATCAACCTGTTGAACCACATTAGGAATGCTCCTCAGTGGCCAGTATGCCTGGAGAAGATTTGAAAGTGAACAGGGTTAGCAACTGTCAACAGCATCTCCTTGACCAATCAGATGTAAAAATATACAAATTAACAGTACAAAGACTGACTAATCAATATAAATTTGAATGTGTGAATTCAATATCAAATCAACAGAAAAGTAAGACATGAAAAGAAAGATTGGGTAACAAAAAGAGGACAGACAAAAAGGTGAACTAAACATTTTAAAAATCATCAAACAATTGTTGAAATTTGAAGAAATTAGGTTTCACACTTGAGAGTTTTCACAAGAAAAGTTCACTGGTAGTAATTCACAATTGGCACAATGTTAGAAGCATGCCCAATAGCCAATCCAATATGCATGGATGTTTTCTGGGTCTAAAAGAAGCGGCTTGGTGTCACTTCATGCCAACTCTAATTCTCCGCAGCATGCTTAGTTTGTCTCTCTCATGCAAACACTGCAACTGCACCCCACTTGATGCTCTGCAATGACGTACTATTCATATTTAGCAGTCCTCACCTGAAGCTACGGCACCGTTAGTGCATGGCAGCAAGTGTGATAGCCTTATGGATATTTTGACAAATTCTGATTTTAAATTTTATTAATTGCTCTTCCTGTTATTACTTAAATCATTTTGTGAAAATAACAGCTAACAAAAAAGGTACAATTCAGGTAAAGTAGAAATACAGCATCATACTGGAGATACAAAAATGAGGTGAAAGATTCAAATTGAAAAGTAAATGCATGCTCATTCAAATTAAAACCAGAGAATGGGACAAAACCAAAAGCAGAAAACTGCTAGAGAGAATAATAGATAAATTGAGAAAACAGTAAGGTAGCAAAAAGAACCTTAAATGTTGGACAAAATGCAACAAAATCTTTGCAGTGGTCTTGGAAGTGATAGCAGGGTCCTTGAAATGAAACATCTTATAAATGTGGATATATTAATTACTAAACAGGTAGTGTATAACATGTTTTGCACTTAGGGAGTTAATAACTTAAGGCTATTTTACCATTGAAGACTTAGCAAGCATTTAGGCAAACAGAACTGTTTGTCACAAGTGATTTTGCAGAGGGAAACTGTTTAAACACTAGTACAACTATCTTTTTTGCTGTTATAAGCATTGAATTTACTTTTCCAATCTGACATGTAAGAGTTCCATCGATGGAATTCCTGCTTCCACTGTTGGTCTGCTTCATCCATGTATGCTGAAAAAAAAACATAATTTATAGTGTGGAAGTTTTTAAGTGGCAGTTCCTATTAAGGAAATTAATTTAATACACAGAATTAATCTTGAACAGAGATTTAAAACATTTACATTGTACAAAAATTATAAACTCAAGTTTTAATAGCACAAGATATTTTGATTAAAGCAGCTTTATTATCACAAACTGTACTATTCTAATTTTTAAGTGTGCTGTATTTTCCACTGATGTTATCGCATAGGCATAAAGCTTTGTGTTCTAAATTTATTTCTGAATAGCAAAGAGATATGCCACTCCAATATGGAATTTATCCTTTTTTGGTTGCGTCAAATGATGCTTGTATAAATATCACCAGCTTGGGGCAGACATTAACACACAGCAAGTAGTGCTTAAGATGCCTGGCACATTTCCCATTATTATTCTATAAAAAGGAAATAAAGCTATAATGGACAACAACAGAGCAAAACAAATATTAGTTTTATCTGCTTCACTCTTTATCACAAGTTCATATGAACCTCAAATCAGCAAAAGACACAAGGCTAAACTGAGAAGTGTAAAGTGTTATTTGGGGTAACCATTAATGAATGGATTTTTCAGAATGTACAGCAACAAAGACAGAAACTATTTACAGCAGGAGTTCAAACATTGAAACACTACACAAAGAGCTAAATGTGATCAACTTACTGTTGGGGTGATATGCTTAATCAATTTAAGTTGAGTTCCATTCATAATTCTTCCATACAAAATATTTTATCATGCATGAATTTTTAACAATACTAATCAAACAAAAAGGATACTAAACAAGTAGCTTTCTTTATCCTACATTTACACACTAGGATCAGTTGCAGTGTGTGGTAATCAGCAACATTTCTTTTCACCCTTACAATGAAATGAGAAGGAATCTCATTTAATTTGCTCTGCAGGGGAAATGTCATGACATTGGATCATAAGTATTATGGGTATCTTTTAACTTAAAAAATATATTTTGTATGTTAAAGAGAATTACAGAGAAAAAAGGCCATAGATGTAAACATAATTGTTGCTGGTAAATTCTCATGTGGGACCCTGGAATGTCACCCATGTACAATGTCAGGGAAACTTCGAATGGGGGTGGGGCAGGGGGAAGAGAAGAGAACGAGACCAAGAGCAAGAGCGAGAAAAAAAAAAGTGGATGACTCTCTCTCACCTCTCAGCTGAAAGCTACCTCTTGCAGACTTTTTTTTTGTGTTTTGCCCTTCTAGAAATATGCAGAAAAATGGGTTAAAAACCAACTGCAACCCTGATCTGTGTATACTAGTATGAGAACATGTGCTGGTAGAAAGTATGGTAGTGAACCGAAAAATCCATGTAACTGGCCTAGGTTTGAGTGCTAGAGTGCTATGAAGGTCACAGCCAACGAACCACCTGCTAGTCACCAATGTATTGCAAGTAAAAGAACTCTATTGCTCTGAATGCTAGAAGCAAGTTAGCTAACAAGCCAGTCAAAAGGAAACACGTCAACAGGGGGACTAACCAACCACGGTCAAAAGGAAACAGGACAAAAGGATTGCAACAAAGTGCAAAGCCAAGAATCCTAAAATCGACTCTCCAGCTATCTATATTCCACTACCTACTCTTCATGAACCACCCAGAAAAACTACTCCTATGTCTTGTAACTTTTATTTTTTTGGACTCACTTCTTGTATATCTAATCTGTGTGTATGCTTGCAGTGTTATTAATTCATGTTCTGTTTAGTAACTAATAAATTCACTCTTTTATTAACTCAAGAAAGCTTGGTTACATTGGCTACTTTTAAAACAGTAATTAATTTGGTCTGGGAGAAAGGCATCTATAAGCGAGGGAACCAACAAAGGGTATGAGTGAATAAAGAAGTGGAGCTAATTCATAGCTGATCACCTATAAGTTTAATCATTTGGGGTATCCACATGGAACTGTAATAACCTCTTAAACTTCAATTGGGCTCTGGTCAAAATATGGTCATGGTCTGATACCATAAGAATTCTGGCCATGGAAACTGAGTTATGAATCATTCTGAATGCACTGCAGACTCAAAATTGGACTCCTGCTTTCAAGTTGAAGCCCACATTTTGGCAACCTTTAAATCTTGATGCTACAGGAGGTGATCACACCAAGGAGAATTAATGGTTCCCAAATTGGCATCTGGGTTGGTTTCAGTGAAAAAAAAGTCTACAAAGGAATACAAGGACTGGAATAGAGGTTGAAGAAGCTCCTTTCAAAATTCGTGACTGGAATAGAAAAATTGACCTTTTCCCAGTATAATGCAAATTTAGCAAAATTAATAATAATTTAGGCAATTCCCAATTAGCTAGAATGAACTCACAACCTTGAAGTAGGTTTGTTAATTTTTGAAATGATTAATCCTTAATTCTTGAAAATATGTTCAATTTTATGCAACATACTTATGAATTAACTATTTAATCTTAACAGGTATGATATTCTATGCTTTGTTTCATTTTTGTTGCATGTGCGTCTCAGATCTTGTATAAAACCCTACAAATTTTTAATTGTTATCTTTTCGCGTACATTGGTTGAACAATGTAATTAAAATTAATTGCCACTTTATCGTTTAATTTATTGGTGTTCCATCAAACTGAGCTGATGGGAACACAGCAGTGTACCTGCACTAGATGGATAGTGTTGGTCTCAAGGAAACTTCAGGATAAGCAACAAATACTGATCTCGTTGCTGACACTCATCCTATGAAAGAATAACGAAAAAAAAGATTATGTTTTATTGTGTATCATTCATACCTGTTCTTTGAAGAAGTTTGGGAAGAAATTGATTCCAAAAGGCACACTGCTGAGCACGGTGTTTCATATAAATTCTTGGTGTTTCAGTGTTTAAAGTTATGTATCGCTGTTCTAATTGCGTATATTCAGGCCACTTCATTCCTTGCATTTTGGGTTCATTTGGGTTACTTTGAAATAAAAAATGAAAATATTAATATTTAATTCTGTTACAAAAAAAAGCAATAGCATAACAGTAGGAAGAATCTATTTCAGAACTATAGCAATTCTTTAACCGGAACTAGTAATTGCCAAAACATTAGCAAAACAGTTAATTGTGTTTGTTGATTTTTCAAAAAGCAGAAATATTAAGTGCATTAAACCTTCTAGGATTGTTAGTGAATTTATCTGTAAGCAGACCCCATCTGCATATGATCCACTTGTGTGTGCAAGTGATTTATATGGCTATGTGAACAATTCAATAACGACAATCTTTACATTTTGAACTCTTAAGAGTCACGTACATTAACCCAAGTACGTTGTTATCCCTACAAACGGAATTTACGGACATGACTTGATAAGGATTACCAGCTGGCTAAGATGGCAAGATCATGAGAAAATAAAGGGCAAAAGAAGTGAAATACTATGATGATCACGGTGAATAGCACTGAGAATCACTGCCACTATAAGTAAAAGGAACTCTTATATTGAAATTTAGATACCCACTGTAAGTGAGCTACCAACTATTTGAGGTGAAGAGCAACACCACATCCAATAATGAATGATCACAAATGAAAGTGTCAAAAACCTGTGTACAATATCTCATTCACAGAGTCAATACTAAAGGTTTAAGGTAACCACAACGTTCTTGTTTAAAGCAGTATCAACTAATATTTGACTGCTGAATTATTTCACAAAACAAGAGGTCTTATTTCAGAATGGAAAGTCAGTGCTGAACTTCAGTAAACAAAATTTCAAAATCCCTTGGCACTAAACCATTAAAGACTGCAAAAAGGGTGAAAAATAAAGAAAGATTGGGACAGCTAACACAAACGTCTTTCTGTGGAGACAGAAGCGTAAATAATTTTTTGCATCAAATTGCTTCTCTCTTCACAGATGCCACCAGATCTGCTGAGTTACGCCAGCATTTTTATTTTTGTTTAAAATTCTCAGCACCAGCAGTACTTTAGCTTGTAGAAGTCTTTTACTGATATTTTCAGCAATAGCATCTTCCTGTTGCTAAGGAAACAAAAATTGCCACAATAAAGTATTAAGTATAGCATTAATGTGGGGAAGGAGAGGCATCACAGGCCTTCACAAATTATTAAAAGAACAGTATCCTGTCGTTTCCTTGTATAGATGACTATTCAACCTAAATATACAAATAAATTTGTCAATGAATTAGTTATGACAACAGTATGTATTTACCTGTGTGTTTAAAGTAATAAACAATCCAAGATGCTTCACAAAGCATTATCCATCAAAATGTGACACAAAATATACAAGCAGGTATTTGGACAGATGAACAAAAGCTTGATCCAAAAAATGGGTTGTAAGGTGCATCTCAATGAAGGAAAGCAGAGAGTTGTAGAGGTTTCAGAACTTAGGGCTTAGTCAGTAGAAGGCACAGTCACAAACTGAGCACAAACTAAAATCAGGGATGTTCAGGACATTGGAATTAGAGAAATATCAATATCTCAGAAGGTTGCAGGAGGTTACAGAGATTGGAGGGGAGCATGATGGAGGGATTTGAACATAATATGGGAATTATAAATTCAATATATAGTTTAATGTAGCGCCAGTATAGGTCAGTGAGTATGGGGTAATGGATTAAAAGTATTTGATGTGCATTAGTATAGTGACAGTAGGGTTTTGAATGACCTCAATGTCATGGAGGGTGGAATGTGGAAGGCCAGTCAGGAGTGTGTTAGAACAATTAAATCTCTAAGGTTTTGGAGTAGATTTGTAGCTCAGGTTGTGGGTGTTGAGGTTGGTTGCCTCGCCGAGCTGGTTTGTTGTTCCGCAGACGTTTCGTTACCGTGCTTGGTAACATCCTCAGTGCAGCCTCTGATGAAGCGTCGGTGTGTTTTCTCGCCTGGCTTTTTAAATTCTGGGGTCCGTTGCGATGGATTGCCTCACTTCCGGGTTTCCTCCGTAGTGGAATGTATATGGGGTCCAGTTCAATGTGTTTATTAATAGCCTGCTTCGTGGAGTGCCATGCTTCCAGGAATTCTCGTGCTTGTCTCTGCCTGGCCTGTCCCAGGATCTTGGTGTTGTCCCAGTCGAAGTCGTGGTTCTCCTTGTCCACGTGGATTGGGATGAGTGAGTATTGGTCGTGTCTACAAGATCCCCTGCAGAGACTGCGAGAAACACTACATCAGACAAACAGGAAGGAAACTAACAACAAGAGTACATGAACACCAACTGGCTACAAAAAGACACGACCAATACTCACTCATGGCACTCCACGAAGCAGGCTATTAATAAACACATTGAACTGGACCCCATATACATTCCACTACGGAGGAAACCCGGAAGTGAGGCAATCCATCGCAACGGACCCCAGAATTTAAAAAGCCAGGCGAGAAAACACACCGACGCTTCATCAGAGGCTGCACTGAGGATGTTACCAAGCACGGTAACGAAACGTCTGCGGAACAACAAACCAGCTCGGCGAGGCAACCAACCTCAATAATTAAATCTTCAGATAAAGGGCATGGATGAGGGCTTTAGACACAAAAAATTAGGCAGGGGCAGAGAAAAATGATGTTGTGCAGGTGGTAACTGTGTATGTACATATCATAGACATCTCATCTCCAGGTCAAATATGATACTGAAGTTGTTAACATTCTGTCACGGCCCCAGACAGTTGCCAGAAAAAGGGGTAGAATTGATGGTCAGGGAGGAGAGTTTGCGTAAGGATTGAAGGTAATTGCTTCAGTGTTCCAAATAAATAATTGGAGATTTCTGCTTAGCCATTAACTCAAGCTGGACAAATGGTTTCACAATTTGGAAACATCTGAAGAGTTTAGCAAAGCAGTGGTGAGATAGAGTAAGTATCATCAGCATATATACAGAAACTGGAACTTTTTTGATGTTGTCGTCAAAGGGCAGCATTTAGATAAGAAACAAACCTTTGTGGGTCATTCTCTGGTTATTCGAAGAATGGGACAAAGTCCATGCAATTCCACTTAGCTCTATGATTGTGTTCTGTTACAAATTAATACTAAAACAATTGCAAAAGCAAAAGATCAATGCATGAGCTATGAGGGAAAATGCAACAATTGAAGCAACATTGTACTTATGCATGACCAATATATACATAGCTAATGCAAGCTGATTGCTTACCCAGTTTTTGCAAAATTTGCCCAGTAGTGCATCATTTTTCTGCTGAGTGTCTGCTCTGCTGTTGTGTAATTGAGCCTTTCGGCAAGAGGAATTCCAAATACAAATTCAATCTCGTAGCCATGCATAACTCCCATCCACCCAGGCCAATCTGCATTTGAAGCATGATGGTCAAACAAATAAATGTAGACAGTATTTCCACATTCAGCAAACTTATTAGCAAAATCCATCAGTGGACATACAAAATTGCAGTCTCCAGCCAGATCAACTAAAGCATCACGATTCTTTGTTGCATTGTTCTCATCTGTCCAATCTGTATATTGGAAGATAACAGCCTCTAGTCCAATATCACCAGCTTCAGGAAAAGACATCCTTGCACCATGCAGGAATTCTTCACGAGTAATGAGACTTTCTGTATCTTTCTTGAAACCAGGAACCTCATACACCAAAAAGAAGCTCCCCTCGTGTTTGTTCACACCTGTTAAGATTTGGATTTGTTTAAAGTTTCCCATTTGAATTAATTCTTCTGGCAGTCCAGTGAGAAAATCGCCATCAACTACAGGTAAAAAAACATATCCAGCCAAAAGGTTATCTGTTAAGATTGTGATACTCTTCTCTATTATCTCTTGGGGATGTTTACCACGAAGACAACTCACTAACTCTGTATCATTATTGTAAGGACATTCAAGGCGGCTGGCCAAAACTGTAGCCCTATGTTTTGCCTCAGCGTCTTTTAAGACAGCCCAAGGAGCATTTGAGGAACCACTTTGCATTATTGCTCTTGTAAACAGAGAATGGCTTTTAGGTGAAAGGATATGCAGATGTACTGAAGCTGCTCCAGCGCTCTCTCCAAACAAGGTCACACTTTTGGGATTTCCTCCAAATGCGACTATATTTTCTTGAACCCACTCAAGTGCTAAACGTTGGTCAAATAATCCCATATTCCCAGGAACATTGCGGCTACGAGGTAAAGCTAAGAAACCTAAAGCACCTAACCTATAGTTCATAGAAACTACAATTACATTTTCAACGTAAGATAGATATCTCCCATCATAGACTGCCAGGGAAGAGGTGCCTGAAGCAAAGCCTCCACCAAAAATCCATACCATAACAGCTGCATTGTTTGGTCTTGGTGATGGAACCCACACATTAACATACAGACAATCCTCACTAAGTTTTGTGTTAGGATTCCACATTTCCTCCCAAGAGTAACCAGAGGAAGAGTTGTTTATATACTGGTAACATGTGTTTGGATATTTGTTTGCAATCCACAACCCAGACCAGGGACGTCGAGGTTCCGGTTTCTTAAATCGAAGTTCAGCAATAGGTGGTTCTGCATATGGTATGCCCAGAAAAGCAGTGACTGTACCCGAAAGTACATTTATTGGAATTCCTTTCACTTTTCCTCGAGTAGTTGTGACCACCAACTCTTCTTCGCTTGGTGTACCACTGAGAAGCTCAAGTGTCAGAAGAAATAACGACATTAATGTGTGGCATGTTAATAGGCTTGGTTTCCTTTTGAGTCTCATGATTGATTGTATGCAGGTCTAAAAATGAAATTTTAAAAAGTGAAAATAACAAAATTGCATTAATCTTATTGTTAAAAAGCATCCAAAATATAAATTTTGTTGCGATAAAATATAGTTTTAAATTAACTGCATCCGTTCATTATTACCTAATGTTAATAATTCACCATTTGTAAATGTTAGTTCTGGAGGACATTATTGTGCAGCATATAACAGATCAACTTGGCAACATTGTGGTCAATGGTATATTGGGCAGTAGAGCTTTTGGTAGAATATATAATAGATAACAATACAGTAGTGGAATAGTAGAAATGCAATTGACAGGGTGACAGTGCACATAGACATACTTTTGGTTAACCCAATATGTTAAAAAAGCATAAAATTTCTCTTTTTTTTTAAAACTGGAATGCTGGTGACACTGCATTAATGGCTCATCTAATTGTTTTGAAAAGGCAGTAGTGACATGCATTCTCGTATTAAATCTAGTACTGGTTTCTGCCGCAAGAAAAAAACCCCAAATGTGTTACTGTCTTACATCTATCTATGGAGTTGGTCAGTTTTTTTGAGATTGTGAAATGAACAGTTTTAATTATTATCCTGTCATGCAGTCATGAAATTTCCACGAAATGTATAGAATCTGTTGCTTTGACATTGACATTCCACTAAATAGTAGACAAGAAACCAAAGAACTGCAGCTGCTGGAAATCAGAAACAAAATCAGAAATTGCTGCAAAGCATCTGTGGAGAGAAAGCAGAGTTAACGTTTCAGGTCCAGTGATCTTTGTTCAAAACTTAATAGTAGAGGTCACTAAAATGCAATCCTTTATGAAATATAGGTATAGAACATTCTGTAGAAACAATTTTGTTTTTGTTTAGCCCCTTTTCAACAGCTCGAAAATTTCCAAATGAAGCTCTGGTACTCAAAGATCATCTAATGTTGATTTTCCCTGTGCACATTTCCTCTCCACATCAAAAGCTCCATTTAACTAATGTGATTGAATTTTGCCACAGATTATCTCAGAATAAGGATTAAGAACCACCATCTCTCTTCAACCTCTATACCCCCAATCCAAATACACACATGATATTTCTGGAGATTACCAATTGAAAAGTATGCAGCCTATAAGTGCATAGAATTGTCAATCTTTACACTTTTGTACATACTTGGAGCCCCACTCATTAAGATATTCATTTGCAAAATTACCTAGAGCCTACTGGAAACAATTTGAGCTTCTGGTGACAAATCTACTTGCTTTCATTAACAATGCTCACAAAATCTTATTTTAGTTTGGGAAAGGAAAAGTATCATTACTGTTGAGACTTATTTCAAGTTAACATAGAAACATCAAAACATAGAAGATTTGAGCAGGAGAAGGCTATTCAGCCCTTCAAGCCTGCTCTGCCATTCTTCACAATCATGGACGATCGTCCAACTCAATAGCCTAATCCTGCTTTCTCCCCATTACCTTTGATCCCATTCGTCCCAAGTGCCACATCTAGTTGCCTCTTGAATACATTCAATGTTTCGGCATCAACTACCTCCTGTGGTAATGAATTCCACAGGCTCACTATTCTTTGGGTGAAGAAATGTCTCATCTCCGTCCTAAATTGTCTATCCCAAATCCTCATATTGTGACCCCCAATTCTAGACACACCCACCATCGGGAACATCCTCGCTGCATCTACACTGTCCAGTCCTGTTAGAATTTTATAAGTCTCTATGAGATCCTCCCTCATTCGTTTGAACTCCAGTGAAAACAATCCTAGTCAAACTCTCCTCATACATCAGACCCGCCATCCCCGGAATCACCCTGGTAAACCTTCGCTGCACTCTCGAGAGCAAGAGCATCCTTTCTCAGAAAAAGGATACCAGAATTGCACACAATATTAGAGGTGTGGTCTCACCAAGGCCCTGTACAACTGCAACAACACATCGATGCTCCTGTACTCGAAACCTCTTGCAATGAAGGCCAACAAACCATTTGCCTCTTTGCTGCCTGCTGCACCTGCATGCTTACCTTCAGCGATTTAGTGCACAAGGACACCCAGGTCCCGCTGCACACTCCCTTCTCACAATTTGCAGCCATTCAGGTAGTAATCTGCCTTCTTGTTTTTGCTTCTAAAGTGAGTAACCTCACATTTATCCAAATTATACTGCATCTGCCATTGATTTGCCCACTCACCCAGTCGAGGTTATGCTAAAGAATCTCTGCAGCCCCGTCACAGTTCACCTTCCCACCCAACTTGATATCATCTGCAAACTTGGAGATGTTACATTTTGTTCCCTAATCCAAATCATTAATCTTGATTGTGAATAGTTGGGGTCCCAGCACCAATCCCTGTGACACACCACTAGTTACTGCCTGCGAATTTGAAAAGGACCCATTAATTCCTACTCTTTAATTCCTCTCCGCCATCCAGTTTCCTATCCATCTCAATACACTTCCCCCAATCCCATGTGCTTTATCTTGCACATTAATCTCTTTGTCAAACGCTTTCTGAAAGTACAAATATACCACTTCAGATGGCTCCCCCTTGTCAACTCTACTAGTTACATCTTCAGAGAATTGCAACAGATTTGTCAAGCATGATTTCCCCTTCATAAATCCATGCTGACTCTGTCTGATCCTACCACTGCTTTCTAAATGCTCTGCTTTAAAATTTTTGACAATGGATTCAGGAATTTTTCCCACTACTGATGTTAGGTTCACCAATCTATAATTCCCTGTTTTCTCTCTACCTCCCTTTTTGAATACTGGAATGACATTAGCCACCCTCCAATCTGCAGGGACTGTTTCAGAGTCTATAGAATCCTGGAAGATGACCACCAACACATCCACTATTTCTAGATCCACTTCCTTAAGTACTCTGGGATGTAGATTATCAGGTCCTGGGGATTTATCAGCCTTCAATCCCAACAATTTTCCCAGCACCATTTCTCTACTAATATTGATCTCCCTCAGTTCTTCCCTTTCATTTAATCTTGCATCCTCCTACAATTTTGGAATCTGATTTGTGTCCTCTTTTGTGAAGACAGAACCAAAGTATGTATTCAGTTCCTCAACCATTTCTTTGTCCCCTATTATATATCCCCCTGTTTCTAACTGTAGGGGACCTACATTTGTCTTTACCAATCTCTTTCTCTTCACATACCTATAGAAACTCTTAATGTCAGTCTTTATGTTCCCTGTAAACTTACTTTTGTACTCTATTTTCCCCTTCTTAATCAATGCCTTGGTCCTTTTTTGCTGAATTCTAAACTGCTCCTAATTCTCAGATTTATTATTTTTCTTGGCCAATCTGTATGCTTCTTCCTTGGGTCAGATACGCTCTCTTATTTCCTTTATAAGTCATGGATTCCCTCATGCATTCCTTGAATGTTTGCCATTGCCTATCCACTGTCATCCCTTTATGTAACTCTCCCCAATCTATCAAGGCCAACTCATGCCTCAGTTTCCTTTATTGAGGTTCAGCACCCTAGTATCTGAATCAATAACGTCACTCTTCCACCTCTATCATATTACGGTCGCTCTTCCCCAAGGGATCTTGCATAGCTAGATTGGCACCCATTCCCTTCTCATTACACAGCACCCAGTCTAAGATGGTCTGCTCTCTAGTTGGTCAAGGAAACCATCCTGTATACACTCGAGGAATTCCTCCTCTACGGCATTGTGGCTAATTTGATTTGCCTAATCTATGTGCAGATTAAAATCACCCACGATCACCGATATTTCCTTGCCACATGCATCTCTAATTTTGTGTTTAATGTCATTCTCGGCATCACCACTGCAGTTTGGAGGTATATATATGACACCTACTAATGTCTTTTGCCCCTTGCTATTTCTCAACTCTACCAAAACAGACTCCTTTTTGGCAGAGCTAATATCTTTTTTCTCACGATTGTGTTAATTTCCTCTTTAACCAGCAATGCCGCTCCAACACCTTTTACTTTTTGCCTGTCCTTCCTAAATCCTGAATACCCTAGAACATTCAGTTCTCATTCATGGTCACCCTGCAGCCATGTCTCCGTAATCCCAATTATATCGTACCCAAATACATCTATCCACGCGATTGGTTCATCCACTTTATTACAGATGCTCTGCATATTAGGCACAAAGCCTTCAAAAGCTTGTCCTTTTAACAGTGTTTGTCTCCTCCTTATTTTTCTCAATAGCCCTGTTTGAATCTTGTCCTTGGTTTCTCAGTCTATCACTTTTCTTATTCCTTTTTCTAGCGTTTGTTTTTGTCCTTGCTGCCTTCTTCTCTGACTCTTTATATTGGTTCCCATCCCCCTGGCACATTAGTTTAAACCCTCCCCAACCACTCTAGCGAACACTCCCCCAGGACATAATTCTCAGTCTTTCCCAGGTGTAACCCATCCAATTTGTACAGGTCCTACCTCCCCCAGAACCAGTCCCAATGCCCCAGGAATCTGAATCTGAAACCCTCCCCTAAAACCATCTTTGCAGCCATGTATTCATCCGGTTTATGTCATTTCTCCTCTGATTTACTGAAGCAATAAAGATGTTCGATATAACGAGGCATTGAATTACAAAATATACAAAAAGTTTATTGTTTCCCCAGCTACTTCTGTAAATTCTGTAAAATTCTAGAATTGATTCAATCAGCTACTCAAAGACATGATCTAATTATTTATGGGAACTTATACGGCCTGAGTGAGCCTTGGTCAAATAGTAGAAATGCCATTTTAGACATTCTTGTATTCTGAGTGATCATCCTAAACTCTGCTGAAAGACAAACCCATATTAACTGTAACTAGAATTGCTAGAAAATTGAGTGATAAGTTTTTACACCTTAACACAAAAGGATACAAGCTTTTTTTTACCTCTGAAAAAAGACACAGACTACTGACCCAGACAGTGAGAGAGACTTAAACAGCGGTTGTCATGAAAAGCAAAGGATAAGATTCAAGCACAGCTTCTTCCCTGCTGTTATCAGATTTTTTTTAAACGGACCTCTCAAATGCTATTTTTGATCTCCCTCTTTGCACCTTCTCTGCA